AAAAAAAAAAACTTCAAAAAATCTGTAAGCTTTTCCGTAATCAAGACATCCAAAATCTATCTGAAAACATGTGATGCTGGGAGTGTCCAGGCAAAAGAAATATAATAATTTTGATGTGACTTGAAAATGGTGCCCTGTTCCTATAGCTGTTCCACTGGCTCTGTGCTAGTTGGTGAACTGATGCATGCTGCTGGAACCCTTCTGCTCCATGGTGCATTGGCTTACATTGTTTCTGGCTTTTTAATAGGAAAACAAAAATGGAAACAAGATGGGAATTAAGGAGTACTTTGGTGATAGCAACACTATACAGTTAAATGAAAATCTTTGGCTACTGAGAGAAATCTAAATGTGACCGGTCAGATTTGTATTAGCTAACTACTTCACCTTAAACCAGTAAAATACGTGAAAGTACCTTTATATTCCCTCTAGCAAAGCTGAAATCTCCAAGTAAATGGCCCTTAGGAGAATAAGAATTTCAGAGGGTTTATTTCTATTTACCAGGCAGAGGGTAGCTTTTCCACACAATCTGTGAGGTGTCAAGGTGGAGGTGAGTTTCACGGCCAACCCTGTATAGGGGGAATGAGGGCTGCTAAGGTGGCCCCTGCAGTTGCTGGTGGCAGAGGCCCTCAGAGCCCACTTTGCTGCCAGAGGTACCTGTGAGTGCTCGCAGCTGGCACTGTCTGCCCAAGGAGGGACGTGAGCCCTAGGCCTGTGCTGTGATTCACAACGCTTTTGCCTTCAAAAAGAGCAGTGCTGTCATGTGCAACCCAGTGCTCTCCCAGGGCAGAAAAACGGTGTCAAAGCTCACAAAGGGAAGTTTATGTTACTTCTAATTAGAGTTAAAGGGGAGAAGCCATAGCAGGGTCTCTCTAGTGTATGTATAAAGTATTGACCCAAGGAATGGTTGAGGCAAAACCTCAGATGTTTGGGAATAAGGACAAGTGACTAAAAGGGGCATCTGGTGCTGCTTGTTGCACCTTGACCCCATGTTTCTGAAAAGTCCCAGGTACTCTGATTTTAGGAGCGGAATGATGCTATGTAGATTGCTACATAGACTTGCTTAGATGAGATGCAGCTAATTGCTGCTTTAACCTGGGTCTGTACAGAAGGATTTTTTAAAAAGACAAGTCTCATAATCTAATTATTTCTATATGAACTCTTTTAGTGAGGACTGAGTACTCACAATTTTTTAAAAGGATACTTATCAGAAAGGAATTAAAAACAGTTGCAGCCAAAAATTTCATTTTAACTGCCTGGCTTGACAGTCTTTTCATTAATGTGCAAACTCCTTGAAGACACTTTGGGAAAGGAACCTGATTTTCTTCAATTGATAAATGTTAAGGAATTTTGTAACAGGTAATTTTATAATAATTTTATACTTCAACAAGAAACGAAATCCATTTCCAGGCCTTACTTTTAAATTTGAATTCGCTTTGCAAAGTTGCACGCAAGAATATATTGCTGTTGATTTTAAATTATTATTCCTTCATTTTTGGGGTCAGGTTCTTATATTTAGCATATTCATCTTATATTGTCTTTTTGTTCTCTTTTTCACATGCTTTTTGTATTAATACACTAAACAACAACAATTAGCTGGTATACCGGAGTGAAAGCCATTACAGAAGAAGACAAGGAACTTTCTCTTTTGCTTCTTTCCCTTTCCCACTCCAACCCCCAAATTGTTGATAACTCTAGCCATGACCCCTTGTGCTTACAGAGCTTCTATTGTTTTTGTACAATGAGACACTAACAGCAATTGACCTGCACCAGAGAGTATTTATCTCAAGATCATTAACCGCTCTACTAATTAAGGGAGAAATCTGTAATTGTATAATAAATTAAAAGAGCTTAACTCAAAATGTTCCACAGAAAACACTGCCCAGCTTTAACTCTGCCATTGGCATCAGATGAAGTTGCTCTTCCTCTCACTTAGGTATTTACAAATGTTCACAGAATCCTCAGAAAAGTGCATGTAATACACAGAAAAGCACCATCTTTCCAGATAAAATCAAACATGGAAGACTAAACCTCTGAGATGTCTATAATTGCAACAGTTTAATCAAGTTTGTTAATGCAGAAAAAACCCCAAAACCCCACCAATTAAAAGCCACGGCAGTAATTTTAGTGTGATTTCTTAAAAAAAAAGAAATAAAGCCATGCATTTGGGATCATATCAGCAGATGTTCTTATAGGAACAGGCTTGATGCACTCGTGCTGCTGATGGTCCAGACAGGCTGTACAGGCTGGGGAAAGGGACTGGCACTTCTGGGCTGTGACTCCTCTCCTCCAGCACAGGCATCTGAAAGATACCAGCTGGACCATGCCCTACGAGAGGTGTTTCTCTCCACTGGGTGCTACCCCAGGCTGCCAGGGTTACTCCCTCTCTCTAGGTGCTGGGGAACTGCAGCCAGGGAAGGGGAACTATGGCCCCAGTGTCTGTCAGGATGGTCCCTCATTTCAGATGTGATGAACAAGAAGATGGACACCTCAAAGATATTCTGTTCCCACAAGTTTCATGACAACAGGTAGCTGGGTAAAGAAAAGAGACCCTATTTGTTTTTTAGCTCAGTTTCCTTTAAATCTTTCTTTTCTGCCTACCTTCCAACTTACTTTCAATTCTTCTGGCCCAGGAGATGAGCCATATTTCTTGCTAGAGACATGCAAGAGAGTTGCTAGAGTGTCAAAAATACCAGACTTCATGAAAGCTTTAGCTAAGTAAGGGAGAGAGGGATCCACTTGTCCCTTCCTCCTGTCAGAAAGGCTGGCTCCATGCACCAGCCTTGCAAGGCGCAAGCAACCCCTGGGAAACTGGGTTTCATTAGTTTTGCAGCTCACCGAACAACTTGTTCGTTCTGTCATCTGAATAACACCTGCTCAATCCCAAACAGATTATTAGTGTTAATTATTATTCAGTCATCAACATCCGCTGTGTTGTAGGGGATTTTAATTTATGACAATGAGGAAGGCAAACAAACAGATATTCTAATAGGGAGCACTTGGTTTAAAGTAAACCATTTACATTCAGGTGACATCTAGCACTGTGTTGTCTGTTCATTCACGCAAGCAAGGCAGAAGCTAAAATGGCATTTCATTGGAGACAAAACCATCACAGCCTTTGCTCGAAATAAAACTAATCAAAGTTCAAGCAGATGTTGCCTGAGGCAGCAGCTAGCTGCTTGCTGCAGATGCAGTTGTGGCCACTTAAAATGTTCGTCCTCGCTGCTGCCACTCTGTACTCAAATGTTAGCTGCAAGGACACCTGGCTCCCTGTGTGGCCAGGCTGGGCACGCTGCCTTTCAGCTCCTGCCATGGGTCACCTTTAGCTAAAGGCAAGAGGCAGAAAGGCATCAGGGAGCAACCTGTGCAGCTCCTCCTTGTGCGCAGGCAGCGGGGCACCTGGCCACGCTACTTCTACAGGCAATGAGCTTGTTGAGGTGTTTAAACTGCTGTGAAATGGTCAACTAGGAAGCCAAGGAAATGTTCATGGTGAGAAGCATGTGTACCTGCGTTTTGTCCCTCACTCGTCTAGTGCTGCAGGCACCTTGTCTTTTAAATAATGAATTATCTTGCTGCAGGCTGACATGTTAATTATTTTAAAGTGTGAAGTACAGAGTAGTCTCATAATTTTCATAATAGTTTATGAAAATCACCCAAGTGTGTGGAGATCTGGTACTTTTCTCAGGAGTATCACTATGGAGTGTGAGCATTAGCAACCCGAGCTGCAATGTCCTGGTGTTATTTCCCTGCTCCACATCAAGCTTCATTTTGAGCTTCGCCAGGAGCACTGCTGTGACTTTGCTGACAATTGAAAAGAGGGCTGCCAGAGGGCTGCCTGTGTAGGCAGACTTGAGTCAGCCCTCTTCCTTTCACCAAGATTTAGCTGGCCTAAAGAGGCTTAACCAGTGACTGGATGGTCACCAATTTGGCGGAAAAGAAATGGAGGTGATGTGCCAGTAAGAGCATTTTACAGGGAAGAAACAGGTCAGCGAATGTCTTGGTAAACGACTGGAAAGCTTCTTTTCACAAAGAGCTTTGATGAGGAAGAAAGGGAGGTAGAAAAAAGTCAAACAAAGCACATGCAGGTTTATAATACATAAAATAATTGATGTTTGAAAGTGCATTAATGAATAACAGAGAGAAGTATCTGTAAAAGAAAATGAATGCTCAGAGCAGATAAATGATATGCTGTTTCTTTGCTGCATGCTAGTATGGAGTCGTGAAAAGAATATTAAACATAGAAGATAAAGGAGAATTTGTTATTTTAAAGCCAGGATCCTCAGGAATTTATATGTTTTATATGCTACAGGAAGAAACTCTGGGATCTTGTGAGGGAGTACAGGGTGCCAGTAGTAGAAGCAGTCTAGGTCCAGGAATACTCTGCCATTCCTAAAATCAGAGAATGACGGGGTGTACCATCACAGCACCACAGGAGAAAAACAATGTGCGGAGAACATGGTACTCAAATTTGCTTAAAAATCCTTTGCAAATGAAATATTGAGGTGACTTTTTGGGCAATCAACCACTTTTGAGATATGTAGTAATAGATTGAAGGAATTTGAACTTTATCTCCAGCAGCATCCTCACCACTACTGGCACACTCACAAAATGGGTGTTGTTGAACTTGCGTATCCTTTACTGCTTGTTAGTTCTGCAGCAGCACAGTCAAATAGGTGTTTTTAGGAGGACTGGGTGTCTTTTTTAGTTTTTAGTTTTAATTCTCATTGTAGTTTTGATCTTGATGGGACCTGGTTCTGTAAAAGCAAAGCTGAAAACTCTTCTTCCATCTGTTTTTTGTCCTCCCGTGAAATAGATGTATGTGTGCACCTGAATCTACATGCACCTGGGCTTCTGAACACCTGCACGCAGTTATATGTGTAAACACACAAGTGTACAACTCAGATCACTTTCCCACAATATTTTACGTGTTTGAGAGCTGGGGGATTTGGGGATTTTAGTTCCTAGAGAGGTAACCTAAAAGCCCCAAAATAAAAAAATATCAGGAGATAAGCAAGTGACCTATTCCACTTTCAAATCCCCAACTAACCTGTGCCAGAGGTGCAGGCTGATTTTGCAGAGTTGCTTGAGGCAGCAACTGCTGTGGGAGAAGCTCACATGGAGGCTGAGAAGGCAAAGAAACCTAGGTTAAAAACAAAACAAACCAAAACTTTATTTATAAGTTTGGCTCCTTTAAATTTTAGGTTTCTTCTAATGCCATGGCTTTTGTGTAAGTAATTTTTAATTGCTAAGCTGCATATGTGGCACATGCTGTATACTCTCTGCCTACTTCTATAATTCCTTGGGAAGTTACCTGAAGAGCAGTAGGTTGACCGAGTCTATGCAGAGATAGATCCTGCTGCGCACTTGGTGTTCTTGGCAAGGGAGCGTTAGACTCTGCAATCAGCTTTGTTGGTGTAGCTGCAAGAAAAGTACTGGTGAGTTCTCACATGCTGGAAATCAACTCTCTTTGAAGTGGTTATTATGACACGACCTAGGTAGAAATTATTACAGCCTCACTAAATTTCAGTGGGAGTCAAGGCTGTTCTTGTTGACTTAAGTGGCAGTAAAATTAAACTGATAGGGAGGGTCTCGGCAAAGATAAAAGTAAATGGGAAGATTATGATTTTGTGCTCCAATGAACAGAGCAAAAGGACACAGGAACTGTTCTAAAACAGCTGGAACTCCCTTTATATGGGCCAAATAACTGCAAATTTAGGTTAGCTCATTGGCTTTTCTTCCAGACCAGGGAGCAGAAAGAGTATACCCAAGTCAACACTGGAGTATCCTGAATCTTGGCCAGAAGAGAATCACCCACAGGCTGTTATTACTCATGTAAGTCTAGAGAGGTCTCATATTGTTCTTACTGATGCCCTCAAATCTGAAGACAGAAGTCCTCATTTTTGTAACAGATTGAAGCAGCAGGTCTCACTGCTAATCCCACTGCTCATTTCCCAGCACTTAGGTGGCTGCACTAGAACCTTCCCTCTTGTATGTTACCATTTCAGATTATGCACTTTATTGTCAGTGCATATCATTGATAACTCATAAATAACTGTTAAATTATCAGCTGTGGTATACAGGCACACATTCTTTAATTTGGCTAAATTAAAAATAATGCAGTAACCCAGGAATGCCACTCACACGCTGGGTCTGACTTGGGTGTGTGGGAAGATTTTGGTGAGCTCCTAGATGATACTGAGGGTGTCCGACTGGCGCTGAGGATTGAGGCACCAATATCAAGTGTATTAAAGTGCTGTTCAGGATCCAAGCTGGCACCATTGTCCTAAAACAAACCAGAAAAAAGGAATAGCTATTGCATCTGTCAAGGTTAAAGCATTTTGAAATGCATTTAGTAATGGTTGCACACCGGTTCTTTGGCAGGCCTAAAATGACTTGAGCAGAACTAATCCCAGGTAGACCAGCAGAAGACCTGGACACAGGCGTCAATGTCCCTTCCAAATAGCATCTAAGTAATGCATTTTACAAACAACTGTCACTGAGTTAGAAATAAATAGCAAGCTACTGCCATACTCATTTTGTGCCTTAAGATGTTTTTCTGAATCTTTCGTGTTCAGTTGGATGTGACAGCAACTGCAACCTCTGTGAGACACTCAGCCATGCATTGAGGAGGAGCTTTGCTGTGTTCCCTCATCAGATCACTGAGATATAGCCAAGAGGGCTGATTGCCAGAACTTGTCCAAATTAATCTTTAAACTGTAGTACCTTGCCAAGGAAAAGTGGAGATATCTCACACTGCCCCTGCCCATGTTCTACTTTATTTCTGGCTGTTACTGATCTCCAGGTTTATCCTTTCATATTCATAACCCAATTTGCGTTAAAATTATTCAAGTGAGCAATGAATTCTGAAGTTGAGAGAATCCACCCAGAAAGACAATGCTGGAGTCTTCGGTGACATTAACATATGAACAAGTTGTGATTACTACATAAATTCATGAAAAAAAGCTTTTCTCATTGTACCTTAAGTGCCGAGGACACAACCTCTGAGGACACTTCTTCCAAGCCCATCTCCTGTCTCCTCTCCACCCGAACATCTGCATAACTGAAGGGAAAATATAATTCTATGTATCAACATGGAATTCTTATATTTCATTAAATGTGCTTTAAGAAAGTAGAGGAACATTAAATTACTGTACCATTTTACAGGTTAAATGAACGCTGAAAAATCATTTAAGTCAAATGCTACTGAACAACATTTGAGAAACTGTTTTAATTTTCAGGTTTTGGTCTGTTCCTATCTTCTTGAAGTCAAGAAGCATATTAAGGAAGACTATATAAAGGTCAAGTTCACATCCTACAACTTCTTTATGACTTCACTGGAAAGCTTCCACACAGCTCTTGAAAAACAACATAAGGATCAGAGGAAGTGAATATTTAAGGGATCTGTCTATTCTCTATTTTATATACTAAGATTTAGTCTGACAATTTTTCTATAATTAACGTATTTCCTTCAGAGAATTCAGGCTTAACTTTTTGTTATTTAAAAGACATAATGTTTTTAGGAGAAAATGTTGGCAGACATGAGGATGCCCTTATCTTACTGTCCTTTATGTCCCTGCTGGCTGATATTATTTTCCATACCTTACCACCATGTGTGTGCACACAATGAACTCTGGCTTGGAGTTCCATTGGTGGTAGGTGATATAGTAATGGGTCTGGAGCCAGATCCACTGCTGTCCTTTGGTCAGAAACCGATAGCAGCACGACTTCCCCTTGCCGAACTGCATCACTGTCAGCAGAAAACACACACAGCTTGTAACACAATTTCCCATGTGAAAATGACATGAAATGTGCATAAAAGTCGCAAAAATATCTGTCCCTCCCCGTCAATTCCCAAGGCAGACAGGAGTCTAAGCACCAATTTTGAGTAAGTGCTCCCTCAGCCTTATGATAGAGCAAAAATCATTAAGATGAGTAGGTATCTTCTTCTGACACTTTAAATGGTGCATTCCTACACAGTACAATTAACCTTAAGTTTGGACACTAATGCATTAGTGTCTGCTACAATTTAAACAGATACCTTACCCTGCTTTATGTACTGATCACATACTGCTTAATTAGGCATCTGGGATTAATTTATAAGAGTGATCATCTAAAGTTCTAAAGCAGAAAATACAGGATAAAAATGCCTGTAAAGATGAGTATTGTGTGCAGATGGACTTAGAGTGAAGTGAGCATAAGAGATAACACTGTGCAAAGACAACAAAAGGAACTGAAAGGAAGTTTTTAGACCAACAAGAATTCAAACTACAGTAAATAGGGATATATTGAAGGTTTGAAAGATTCACCAACAAAATTAACCTCTGCATTTTTCCCCTGGTGATTTCAAGGGGTTCCCAAGCACCCCCATTTTTAGCCTTTCTATATTTTCAATATTAACATATAAAAACTACTATTGACAGCATACTTCCAGAACAGGCAGAGGTGGTAAGCTGAGATGCTACAGCCAGTTCTGTAAGCAAATATTTGGAAAGCATTACCTCATTTTCTTTACTTAAAGAGTTTTTCAATTAAACTTTAACAGACTCTATTTAAATAATCACAGGTAATCCCAAATACACAGTGAACAACATTAGGGGAAATAATCCACAAGAATTTCTTGAACTATTCCTGCATAGTCTTCACTAACAGGGATCTAATCTGGCACATTTTATCCATTCAGTTAGTCTTGTTGACTACTTTTGGGGATACAGAAGGTAAAACTATTTTCCAAAGCTTGGTAAGTTTGTCCCAGATGCCAATCAGCTGCAGGGCCTCCAACCTGCTACAACTCTTCTAAGATATACAGGCTGAGGCAAGAGTCAAACCTCCCCTTCCAAGTTTAACTGCAACAACATTCCACTGAAAAGAGATGTCCCAGTGACTTCCCAGGAACCTGGGCCATGAGATACTTACAGTGTTCATGGCACCTTGCTAGCAGCTCCAGGTCATCTATGTGGTAATAGTCGTAGCCAGAAGTACCCAGCACTTCAAAAGGCAAGTATCCTATAATTGGCGGTGCTCTGTGGTTAGGCACAATATAAGTGAGTTCATAAACCATAAAACAAGCAGTTCTGCATGTTGACATGGATATGCAAAAAGCCCAGATCTGCTTTCACTCATCAGTGTACAGTTGTTCATCCCAGGGGACTGGATCCTGACCTTCCCCCACCTTGTGCCCAGCTGGGCACAGCAGTACTGGCAGCACCATCCAACCAGGACAAGGCTATGACAACCCCTTTTTTCCAGGGAAAATGTGGCTATGGAAAGCAATTCAGGTTCTCAGGGACCTTCACACAGGAACCTGAGGTGAGGAGCCACTCCCTGGCTGTTCCTTGGTCAGGGGCTCTGCAGCAGCTCCTGCAGTCCTTGCAGGGGAAAATGCATAGCGAGGTGAAAGGAAACCATCATTTGCTGGGACTAGGGGGATAGGAGGGGAAATTGTCTGTGCTGCTTCCCTCTGGACGCCTGGAGAGCTCATCTGTGGTGTGTTGAAGCACTTGCTTTGTACCTTTGCCAGCACAGACGCCTCAGGCCAGCACAGACTTTCACTCCATAACTCGGTGGGAATTGCACACACACAATCAATGACTGGATTTGGAAAGAAGGATTTCTGCAGCTGTATAATAATTACATAATTTTGCAATGTGACCGACTTTGGTCTGTTGATAATTTTAAAGGAAAGAAGAACAAGCTAATCAGAAATTTGGCCTGATAAACGGAGTACTTTTGTTTTAAAAACCCATTAAAAATAAATGCAAAAATAAATGTAAACCAGTAAACTTTTGTAGGAATTTCAGTGCAGCCCTCCTGTTCATGAGATTTAGATGTGAAATGGAACACCATTTGAGATAATTCTACTTACGAAATAGCAGAACACAAGCACCAAACACAACCAGCTTTTCTTGTCACCTACCTGTGATCCAGGAATAAAAATTTCCACTCCAGACTGTGTCTTGATGTGAATTCCTCTAGATGTTCTTCCACAATGCACATCTCCTGTCCAATGGAGAAAACTGACTTACTGAGAGTTGCAGCTTCACCCCTCTGCTTCATCTAGCTTTTGTTAGCTATAAATATATGGTGCATAAGAGGAGAAAACAGAGGATTCACCCATTTTCTGGCAATTCCAGAGAGTGATCTATTGTATTTAGCAATGCCAACATTTTTGCTGGGGAGAAGAACTGGTGATGCACATGAACTTAAGAGCTGAGACACTGCCTCAGGGTGCCAAAACTTTTATGGCTTTGAAGCAGTGCCTGCGGTGTAATGGTTGCGCTGTCCACAGCCCTGAGGAGCAATGCTCTTTTCCAGCATCCAGCCTATGCCTGATCCCACTAGGGTTTGTCATGTCTTGCTTCACTCTCCTTATGTTACTAAAGATACCCACCACGCTTGCCTGGTCCTTTTGGACATCTGCCCTCCAAGCTCTCTTTGAGAAAGGGGAACACTCTCCTCACTCAATAGCTGCAGAGGAGTAAATGCCTTTCCATGCAGCCAGCCTGCATGGGACCTGTCAGGCAGGTAAAAGGCAGCAGTTTTGCATTATACTTCACTGCCGCAGCGAAGAAGCTGGCTCTCAAGACTCACAGCAGCCCTCAGTGCTCACAAGACTGATAACTAATGAGTGAATTACAGGAGGCAGGGTACAGAGCTGTCTGTGAGGCAGGACATCCTTGCCCCAGAGGGATGAGGATCAGGAGGCAGTGATTATTTGTTGTGGGGAGGTGGGAAGCAGAGGGAAGGATGGCACCATGGTGCACACCTGTGCATGGACCAGGGCTGGTTTCATGCCCCACAGCCAACTTGCCTCCGCTCATGGCTCTCCTCTGCCAACCTCTCCTCTCCCACTGGCAGTTTGCAGGGGCAACTCGGCTGGGTGTTGCCAGTGTCAGCGCTCCAGATTTGGTGGCATCCAGGGTTACTGTGTCCTTCATGTCTCTCCTGCAGGAAGGTCTCCATCATCGCTAATAAGGACAGCCTGTCCACTAGCTCCCAATGCTGTTATTCCCCAGCTCCCTGATGGCACATCCCCCTGTGCTGTGGGCTCAGTGACACTCTCCCATCATCTCCATTGCTGCTTCTCTCTCTGCTGTCCTTCTTGGGGAGAGAAGACTTTCAGACCACTAATGTTTTAAACCCTCTTGGGACCAGAGGACAAGTTGAGGTGCACTGTCATCAAGCATTTCTTTCGTACATATCAATGCTGACAAAGTTGTTTAAAGTCTCTGGCTGTGCAGAGGCAAAAGGCTTCATGAACACCTTAAATTCCTCTCTCCCCCTCTTTCCAATTTAGGCCAAAATCCATGCTGATATGAAGAATATACACTAAAATTCAAAGTGCAACATACAAACATTGCTGTGTGCAAACATTGCTGATTCTGCCTTCCTTAGCCAGTCACATAAACATTTTTACCTTCTTTTTAGAGGAGGAGGAGTGGGGGTTAAGTGAGTCACCCAGGAGAACGGAAGAGATGAGTGTTTAGGACTTTGTGGCAGTTAAAAGCTTTTCTAGGCTGTTCAGCAGCTGCTTCCTCCCTAGTACCATGCAGCTCATTGCCATGTGCAGCCCATTTCGTTTCCCTGTTTATTTTGAGGTGTTAGCTATCCAAAGACAAGGGAATTTGCTTTTAGGTTTCCCAGAGTACCTTAACTCCAACCCTACTCTTACTATGATTACTGTGGTTAAGATTTATGGGAAGTGTCCTCACTTACCCAGAAAGGACTCTACTTGCCAGCCAGGGCCATGAATCAGTCAAGAGTGCCCTGCAAGTCCCAGAGCAGTAACAGAGCCAGGCCAAGGAAGCAGTGATTTCATATTGGCCAGGTCTAAATTACACTAAAAAAATCACTTAACCTCTGAGGATGGGACATCTCATGCAGTAGTTCACAGCTGTTAATTAGGGAACAGCAGTGTCAGGCACAAGGTTGGATTGTCTATCCTTATAACCACAATCATGTATCTTACTACCAGGATTTGGGAGGAGGGAAACTAGCAGTAGTCAACCAAAGACACTGAGGGCACAAATGAAAGTGTTGGTGGCCACCTGTACATTGTCCCATTGCAGGAACAGAAAGCAGCAAGGAAGAATACAATTTCAAACTGACTTTGTAATTCCTGATGCAAGGAGGGTTTCCATTTACCATGTGATAGGGGCAGAAGTGACACTGCTTCTGCAGATCCTGGCTTGCACTGATAATCCGCTTCACTGGATTTTTATGCATGAAATGTGATATCTGTAATCCATTCAATTAGCAAAACTAAGAACCTTCTATGTCACCTCATCTGAAAGTGTTATGAGAAGTTCTGAAATGAATGGGACCGAGGGCACGGACTTACCTTTAAAAACTGAGGCGTTGCCAAACGAACAGTCGCAACGAAGCAGATCTGCTTTCCCAGGGATGTTCTGTAAGCCCTCGGGACAGCCTCGTCAAAGCCATTGCAAGTGGAGTTAGGCACTAGGTAGGGGAAAAAATGGGACCTGGAATCATGCCTCATATAAGATTTTCTCTCCCTGAATATTTTGCACACTTGAAGCCTACTAATAGTATTTTTATTCAGAGAAGTGTTCTAAAAGCTTTTAAAGCTGATATGCATATATTAAAATCCAAGTCAGTCATATTAGTCAGAAAGACATCAGAGCTTAACTTCAAGTATGAATTTTACAGGTTAATCCTGATAAAAATAAGGCCAAACCTTATTACAGAGCATAAAGCAGTTTTCTGGAAAGAAACCCCATGCATCCAATTGCTCTTTTTCACCACTCACAAGACAAAAATATATGCTCCAGCATGCCTAGCACCATAACTTCCACAAGGCAGTGAAAAAATGCGCTGGCAAGGGAGGTAGCTGAAGAGAGTTCGTCAAGTCATCAGTGGCAAAACACTAGGGCCCACAGCCAGCAAGGCTTCATCGAGCTAGTAAGAGGCTGCTTGTGATTCTTGGCTGCTGAAGAGTGCCTTCCCCTCCTGCATCTAAGAAGAACTGTCCCCAGTGTGCTCAAGTTCTACTTGTTTTAAAGAAGACGAAAAGGGACCCTGTGCATAGCTTCCAGAGATGGGCATATTTGGCGAGTCTGCAGATGGCCTGCTGTCTCCTGAGACAATGGGTGGAAGGAAAAGGTGGACGTGATGTGGCTACACACTTTGTGTATGCTTTTTTATTTGTGTCTTTCATGATTGCATGGCTCTTGTATTGCTTTGAGAGCCCACTAGCAACTCCTGCCACAGAGATGTGCTGCCAAAAGAGCGTGTTGCCTTAAGCCAGCCCACAGTCCCATGTTAGAATGACATAATTCAAATTCTTCCTCAAAGTTCAAGCTGTTTAGAGATGGTAATCCCACTCCCACAGCTGTGAAAGAAAACTGTGTGCCAAGCTGCAATGGGAACTGGCTCTTGCCCTGCTCAGCCGACTATCTCCCATGGGGGCGGAGAAGGTCCTATCTAGAAACCAGAGTTCACCAATGTAAGTTAATCTAGTGCTAATAGGAATTAATGCTAATATGAAATTATCTTTCCTTACTATTAGGCCCCGTTATCCAACTTTATGAAGTTTCCTACAGTTTGTCTCTTCTGCATAGGACAAAGCATTACTGTGAAACTGAAGAGTTTTATAGCTATCTGGGGAGGATATAAATAGCAATTTTTATCCTGGGGTGCTTCTGCACTGGGCTTTAGTTCACTAGCATAAACTGTAGAGATGGAAGAAGTCTCAACTTATCACAATTGTTTTTGGAACCCAGTTCAACCTATAAAAAGCCTTGGAATATTGATACATTACTGGTAACAAGGATAACAGGGTAGGAGATGGAAAAATAAGTACTCTAAGGGGAATTCACACCTATGATTAACTGGTTTAGGCCACTGTGTGCACAACATATAGTGCACCAAAAAGGGAAAGAAAGATTCCTTATCTGAGAAGACAACACAGATGTGAACATCCACAGAGATTATAGCCCTCTCTTGTAGTTGAGTCTGGAGGGCATGGCTGACTGTATATTGAGATAAAAAATGTGGGCAAAATTCTCTTTTCACCAGCAAAGCACACTTGCTCTGGGGACTTCCTAGGAATATGTATTCCCATTTTGATCCTGGGGTTATGTGTATATATGTGGGCTTCTATGGGATTATTAATACTAGAGGTGGATAAAAGGAAGAGTTAGGAGCTGCAGGAAACAGGAGAAGCCTGAGTAAAGAGCTATTGGTCCCTCTCTGATATTATCATTTTGTGCAAGTCTGTTCATTTCTGTAGTCAGTCCTCTTTAATAATAAATGAGAATGCTATAAACCCACATTATGGGCATTGTAAAAAGTTACTTCCAAGCTTACTATGTAGGATGTTGTCACATCTGAAATCAAGGGGGCTGTTTCTCTCTGTGACAGCCACGTTCAGTACCAAAAGCTTGCAGGCTGGGCTCTAAGATATGAAAATTAGATAAGCACATTCAGCCTCTGAAGCACAGGCATGATAAGTCAACCTAGTTAGCAAACCATGGGCTTGCAAAGGACACCAGCTGTAGGAGAAAGGGGAGACTGAGTGGACACTAAGTCACCAAAGAGAGCAGATAACTTTTTAATGTCAGGTGTTGGATGTAAACAGCCACAAGCCTGAGATTAGCAGAATACATCCTTGACTGTGGCATTTAAAAAATAGGATTATATTTCCAACAGGTAAATGCAGTACTAAAAGGGTAATAATTATTGTGTAGGACAGCTAGGTAGTAAATTTGGGATTTCATCACAACTTTTGGGAACGGTGAACTTAAGCAGCAGTGAATTAAAAAGCCCAAGGAGATGAGACAGAGCTGGCCTGGCTGGAAGTCATCCTGTGTTTGAACAGCTACTGTGCCATCTCCATACTCAGCTGCTTTTGACAAAGCCCAGAGCATTAAAAGCCTCAGTGATGCAGGCAGGTAGTCACCACCTTGCAAAGTACATCTCCATCTGAAAATGACAACTACAATAACCGAAAGAAAAAAACCCATTCACGTTTGCTTCTGATAATTTTTTTTGTATCTGTTCTTTCCTCAGCTCTATCTGCACAGCCTGTTTTGCTCTGCTTTTGCAGCTGGTCAGCAAATTTCAACTTTTTTTTTGTTGATAAGTTTTGAAGTGTAGTTAAAAAAAGAGATAATGGCAATAATTAAAAAATTATAATCCCAATAATAAAAAAATATTAATAACTAATATTATAATTACAATAATATATTGATAACTAACAATAATAAAATGATATCATAATAAAAATATAAACCTTTAAAGCATGCCCTCTGAAAAATCATACTTTATAATTCTCCAAGTCTCTTTAAAAGAAACACAACATCTTGAGGTAGCAAAGTTCAGTAGCGAACTTTCTGAGAGCACCACAGAAAAAGAGTGAAGTGAAAAATACAGGATCAAGCCTGAGTCTATGATGATATTAACATTTTTAAGTCCAATACAGGGCTTGGAGTGCTTCCGTCAGAAGATGAAGATGTTAAACTGGCTATAAACAGGTTGGCTTGGGTAAATGAGGGCATAGGTGTTTCACAATTAAATGATCTGGAGAAAATATCTTGAGTAGGGAATTAGAAGGTAGTGTGACAAAGCTAAATACATTATCAAAAAGGTGAAACAGTTGTCTCATATATATCAGTTAGCTGACGCTTCTTAGCATAAATTTTAATAGTTTTTGCTGTTACCTATCACACCCACTGCTCCTAGAGCTACCACAGAATTCTTCCATAGAAGTATTAAATACCCACAAATATCTCGTAAGATAGAAAGAAGCTAATATGCCTATATAATTTGTTTTTAATTGTTGCTGTTTTGTTTTGTTTTTAAAGACCAGGACACTGAGGACAGAACGTTAAAAATAAATAATATATACAAGGAACCAAACCCTTAACTAGCACAGACAAAAAGATTTTTATCCTTAGGGATACAAATCATGCCACCTGAAATGAATGAAAACATGTTTAGAAAACCCCACATGTCACTTTATTCAGTTAATAATGGTGCACCAGTCAGTTGCTTGGTCATCTTATTTTAACATAGAATGTGTAAAACATAGTCTTCCTAAGATAGCAAACCTCCCATTTATGCCATTTGAAAGAAGAAATCCCTCCTTCCTATTTTGTCAGTAGATGTTAATCTTTAAAGAACCAATTTTAGTGACTATCAGACAAACTCAACAGTGATTTCAAAAAATACAAGCCAAACAGACCAGAATAAAATCAAGATTGTTTCATATAAATAAATTCAGACCACATATAAACAGAATATCCATCAATTAATATATATAATGAAGAAATCTAAAGTGCTGGTGGCAAGCCAGACTGCCCACGGTAGCTTTGGATGAATAACAGTGACAATGTCCATACGTCACCTGTCTACTTTGATCTCCTCTCTCCACTTTCCTCCTCCTGTTTCTCCCCTTGCCATTGTGTGTTGATATGAATCCCAAGTAAATTCTTTAGGACAGGAATGGTGTCTTTTTCTTAAATACCCATAGAGAGCCTAGCATGAGTGCTGCATATTGTTAGCTGCAGCTTCTATGATATCATTAATAGCAAATAATAATATGCAGTTGTTGGTTCTGATCAAAACATTCATTTTGGATTGAGCTATTCTTGTTTTAGATGTTTCTGCACATACTTTGAGGGCTCAAGATCAATGTATCTCCTGTATAAATCTGTTTATTTCTTTTAAAAAGGAATTCAGATTGAATTAATTGTTCTGGGAATTAAAAGATTTCTTTTCTCCTCAGCATAATAATTATCTTGATGTTTATTCTTATATCTGAGAGATATATCAGCTAACAGTAGAGTATCTGCTATTATTAGCATTCAGTACCAGATACTTCTTGAGTTTCCGTGTAACTGGGAACAAAAATGCACAATTTTAAATTCCACTATAATATTTAATTATATTACTTATTAGGAACCTTTTTTACATAGTGGTTATCTCCTCCTTCAAGAGAAAAATTTCAGGCATTTTGGACAAAAGGACAGATCCATCACTCTAAAGATGCTGGTGGTCCTTTTTTGTATTAGTGAACTCTTTGAAAGGAAGGACTCCATCTTTGTCCCTTTCAGGAGTTTTGAAGCAAGTATGTCACCTCAGAAATAGGATACCAATGCCAATATTTGGATATATAATTATGAGAGATCTTCGTCTGTTTACAAACATATAAACAATTTTCACAGGAGGGATAAATCCAGCCCGTCTTATCATTTCTTATCAGAGTAAGCTATTAAGCGTCTTTGTAAAATTTATTCTCACTAAATTTGACATCTTATACTGGAAGCTAAGCATTTCCTTGGATTTTTGGGGAGGGTGATCTTTTTTACTTGCCTTCCCCCTCAGCCCTCAGGCAAAACTGGATATGAGCCACTGCATTATTCATTGGTGATGCTGATATGACTCTCTCCCTTATTAGGTACTACTAGTCAATAGGTACAGTGATGATACTTGGCTCCCTCAGATGTTTGCATACATTCATGTCTCTTGTTAAAATGTAGGCTACAGAACCAGTACCTGAAATATATAAAAATATTGGAAAGAGTTTCTATTTGCAAATAAAACAAAAGCAACCCCTATGATCTGAGAGCAAGCAGGCATTTCTCACAGAACCAAGAAGGAACTCCACTGGCCCATGGGCCACCTCCTCTCCTCTCTCAAGGGACTACTGAATCTTCACATCAGGTTACAGTCCTGCTTTTCTCATTGAAGCTTAATTAATGATGATTATATAATCCTCCCAAATGGAAAATCAAATCTCTTGTATTTGATTTAGCACAGCCAGTGACTCATGTAGTCACTCTGCTCAGCTCGCATTGCTGTTTCGCTGGTCGGCTGCTCTCACTTGGGCACAGCTAATTCAAGGGGGATTCACTCATGCAGGCAGCTCGTGTCACGTCCCTGGTGTTCTGCAGCAGGGGTTACAGAGTACAGCTTCCCCAGGACTAGGCCAAGTGTGGACTTTCTCGCTAACCCTGGCACTGGACTGTGCAGCTCCTCTAGCCCCCAGCTATAGCTGAGCCCTGGAGCTCTGGGAACAGTGATCTTCTGAAAGACTGAAAACATGCTGTGAACTATGTGAACTTTCCTGGGCAATTTCTAGGGTCTCTACATGCATGTCCCTGCATCTTCTAGGATCAGGGAAGATGCCAGTGACTGCTCCTCTGTGGGAGCAGCATAAGTTCGATCTAGGTTGTATGTGCTCTGGCTCCCTGACAGCAATTCTGGTAACAAGTCACCTTGGCAGATATCAGGTATTTGTTCTAGTTCAGCATGAAAAAAATTATCTTTGGCGTCTCAGTACAATGGCCTTTAAAGCCCCAGAGCTCCCAGTAAAGTTAGTGAGAGCAGCTAAGCCCCTAACTGGCTTTCTAAGCCGCAGTCCTTCAAATTAATCCATTCAAACCCATCCCTATATGATGTTCTCAGGCATAAGTCACAATGCGATTAAAGGAGAAGGTATGAGGAAGGAGGGAGGGGGAAAGGTGACTGGGAACCCATGAGCATGACCCCCTTCCCCCAATGAACAATATGAGCAATGAACAATAATATAACGAGCCTAAGAAGATAATAATTCAAGGGAGGTTACATAAAAGGTTATGTGGAAGTGGAATAAAGCTAGTGACATTTCTGTTAAAGAGGGCAAAAGAGGACCTACAGTTCTTAAAAACATTAGCAAAGGTTAAGTGAGAAGGAAAGGTGAAAGATTTGCTAGGGCTGTTACTGCCACGACCGTACATTAATGACAATGGAATAGCTAAGTATCCTGATGGGATACAGCCTGCCCAGGGATACAAGAACTTCCATGGCCATAGAGGCTCTGGCGTCCCTGCAGCAGGAACATGCAAGCAGGATGGACTCAGTATGCTCAGCAAACCATTGAAAACAAAGGTGGGATTTGGCATTGGGTGGCTAAAAAGGAACGGCAGAGATTTGTGTTTAGAGAACATTCTGTATTGGTCTCCCATGTGTAAAAACATGCTCACACTTCCACTGCTCTGAAAAGCTAGAGGGAAAAACATTCTTGAATACATTATAAGGAATGTCTCCTGCTAATTAGGCTTAATTTGCAATTTCCTTCATTCTCCCCCAGCTAACTCTTTTCTTATCTTTACCTTAGCCTCCTTCCTTCACAAACACCTCCAAAAAGCAGGATTTGGGGCCAGCTGATCCTGTGCACATAGGATGAGTGCTGCCCTGAGTAATATGTCTCTCTTCTACCACCCTTCCCACCACTTGGGTCTTTCTCACCCACTTGGTTCACACCAGGAGGAAGGATGACTGGAGAATGGGTATTTATTTAACAGGAGGAAGAAGAGGGCAATCGCTGTCAGGTCCAGCAGGTGACAGCCCTGAGGTGCATGGGCTGGGTGAGATAGTGCCTGATAGCGAGGCATCCTGGGGTGTGTGTGGGCCAAGCAGGGGTAGGAACCCAGCCCACCAGTGCACCCACCAGATGCTCAAAGGTGCCTGTACCACAGCTTCCTGAGCCAAAGCCCCTGTATCAAAAGTGGTGCTTGCCTCCAGCCCTGGGGCTGGAAAGCTGCCCAATGCACAGCTGCGTTCATACAGTGCTCGCTTGAGCTGACGTCTTCCATGTCTTGCTCAGGTGCATCTGGCTGATGCAAGGAGCCCAGTGGATCCATTGACAACTGCCTCGGAGGTTTGCACCCTCCTCCGGCTGCTCGGTCTGTCCTTGGCCCAGGGTTATCAGCTCCCAAGCAAAGAGAGTTTGCTGCTGCACCATCACGAGTCTGGTGCCCTTGCTTCCACCTTTGCTAAGAGGTGGTTTTGTGGCTAGATTAGGAGCTAAGAGGGAGACAACATAGAGGCAGCCACAGGGGCGACTCCCAGCGTAGGGGGAGCAGTGCTGTGGACACACTGGTGAAGCAAATATTTTCATCAGGCTCTGCACTGAACTGGCAGAACTAAAGTCAGATGGAAAGGGAGCCAGGAGGCACCATCTCACAGAGCCAGGGTGAGGGCTGTCCCCTCCCTGTCAGCTGGAGAGTCAGACTGCAGCAGAGATGGAAAGAAAGTGGAAGAGACAAAAGAAAATGGAAGTTTTAGAAAAAGCTGCACAAAGGGGAAAAAAAGAATTGGAGGCAGAAAGCACACATCTTATTTGAAAGCTATAAGATGGGATCTTTGGAAATGATTTGGTGCCTTCTGAAATCATTATGTTCCCATTTAGTTTATATGCATTAAGCTAGGGAAGCTGTCTGTAATGCAAGTTTTATCTTTCTTCTGAGAAAAAGCCACTATACAAATGTTGGGATATGAAATCCTAACGGGTAAGAGGGCAATATTAAGGTCATGCCAAAATAAAAGGCTGAAAATCCTTGAAGAAAATGGATCAGAAATTCCCCTGGTAAAAACGTATCCTTATGAGTCAGCACCTGAAATCTGGTCTCTGCTCTAGAAAACAGAACAGCTTGCTGTGTGCGTCTGTCAGGCAGGCGCATTTCACTTCATTCAAACTAGAAAGCACACAGGCAGTTACAATTTTTATACAAATAGAGCCTCGAATCAGATGGCACAAAACAAGAAACACATATCTCCATCCTGCACGTAGGTTTCTATTCTAGTCATGTGGAGCAAGAGCAGAAAGTTAAATGGGGACAGGGACATTTTTTTCGCAGTGTGGCGTGCAGTTTTTGGAAAGCACGGTGGGGAATTTTTTTGCAGAGGATGACCTATTTGGAACAATACCAGCAACTCTGGACATGCCACTCTGGAGTTCAGTCAGGCAAGTAACTAAAGCAAACTTGGGCAGGCAGGAGAAGGGAAAGCAATAAAAGAGTATTTAATTTCTGATACTAATGGCCATGCAGCAATCTCTTTGTTAGGGAATGGGTAAGGTGGAAATCTGCTCTTCATCCCTTGAAAGACGGTTTCTCTGGACTGACTGTGGTGCATTAGCAACTATGCTGACTGTACTTTTTTCCTTTTTGTGGAGAGTGTTGGGTTCTGCAGCGTTCAAGAGGAATATAAAATGGCAGCTGGGGAGGGCAGTGGATGGATGGCAGTATCCTCAGCTGTTCTGATGCCACGTGGCACCGCTGCCTTTCTCCAAGGTTTTGCAGAGAAGGGTGAGAGGGCAGGTTTGGCAGGTTATCAGTTCTGGCACAGAATCTGTGTTTAATGCAAATGAGCAGATGCTAGGTAGCAAGCTTATTATTTTGCTAATAGGTGGGGTCTTAGCACACAGTATTAGCAAGCACAAACAAATCCTCCTCTAAACCTGTCATTATTTGCCAACTTACCCAGACACCAGGATCACTGCAAGTGAAGGGCAATAACAAAAGCAACTAACACAGTTTCAGTCGTCACATGTATTCATCCAGCTATTGCAACTCAGCCATGAGATCCATGTGAAGCAAAATTTACCCCAATGTTAAAAATAGTTCTTTCAGTTAAAAGCCTGTCTTGTTCAATGGAGCAATACTTATATTTTATTTTACACAGCTACAGTAACATTTATACAACAATTAAAGCTTACCATTGCTGTAAGACCGAAAATTTCCTACAAATTTTATGTATTCATATGTTGGAAATTCCTTTGGGTTCAAACTTCCTCTCAGAAGATGACAATAAAACTCTAGTTCATTGTCAGCTGGATTGTTAAAAGAAGAAGAAGAAGAAATAAATATACTAATTAAGCTAAACACAACCAATGGTGTCTTCCAACCCCAATCTTGCAACTGGCAGCGCAAGAGCAGCTTGTTACCACTCAGGAGTCCTAAACACCAATGTGCTATACATTGCGGGATCAGAGCCTCTGCAAGGAAGCACCTTGCAGGGATGCAGGTTGTTCAGCACTGTGCACGGGCCTGCCTGCAGCTCAGGGACAGCTCTTGCCCTTCTCTGACACTACCTTCATCATAGGAGTTACACAGTCATAGCATCAGTGTAGCAAAGGAGAGAAGTGGATCCTTCACTTACTGCTTTTTTTCCGTTTAGGCTTTTCACAACTCACAGCTGTTCTACATCTTGTGTTGGACAACTACGCCTAATTACCTCAAAATATCTATTACATTAACTTCGGTGTATTAGCTATCAGCTGTAGGTTTCGTACAATACAGTAGATTAAGCAGCTGTACATCTTACATTATTGTGTGTTTTCTGGTTTCCTACATCTTACCTCCTAGAGTGAGTAAGGATGAGGCAGCAAAAACATTTTTAAGAAAAAAAAAATCAAATTGAAAAGGAATTACAATTATTTTAGAAATATGTTTCAACGATAAGGCAAAACAAAGGTATGCAACATTAGCATATCTCTGAACAACATCTCATTTGAACAGGCTGAAATATCAATTAAGATGTGATTTGTCTCTTGCGAACTCTCACTTTCCATGGGCTAACCTATTTTCTTTAGCTGTCTCAAAAGATATGATATTTAATAATTAACATAACTGCAAGTAGTCTTAGCCTAGTAAAATAAAGGCAATGAGTTTCATTTAAAAATAGAACCAAAGAGTCATTCCAGGTGGCAAGATCTTTTTAAAAGGCTATGAACCTAATTTTTTTATTGCACATCACATAAAAAATTCTTTCTGAGAGAAAATTTTTATCCTGCCCATGCTTTTTCATATACTAGAGAAGATAAAATAAAACTTACTTTTTAGGTAATCCGGTGAGGCAGAATCTGTCATAAGCATACAAGAAGATAACATCTTATAAATTTCTGAATGTTCTTGTTCTGGGAGGAAATTCAACAAATTCTGATCCAAGACATCACACTGCAAAGAAAAGAACTTTTGAGACAAACAGAAATATCACAATAAGCAACACTTGCAGAGATGCGCAACAAGGTGGATACAACGCCTGTGGCATTCAACGGGAGTTTCCCCACTGATTTCCGGGGACTCCTGACAAAGTCTAAAATGAGGAAAACTGCTGGGCAAACCGAGTGGCCACTTCTCTGTGGGCTGGTTGTCAGATTAATTCTCAGCACTGAGTGATATTTAATGTTTCTCAGAGACCATGAGATGCATCAGGTACGTCCATGCCATTAAATGATGAGACCTGAGAGTGAGTTGGAAAATAGGTACCTGGCTCCCCATACTGTTCACCAACTCCTTGCACAGGCCTGCTGGGGATCACTGGAGCTTGTTCTCTCCCTGCCAGACCCTGACTGGCAGAAGCAGTGAGGCTGGGAGTCATCTTGAGCCACCGGTCCCAAGAGCTGGGTCAGTCCTAGATCCAGCCCCCTCCTGGGGGTATCTCCTCAGCTCCTGGGAAGTGCTCTTGGGGTGGCAGGCCTTGCTCCCCACTTCCTGCATCCTGGCAGGTGGGAGCAGGGAGAAGGGGACACCCCAGTCTGGACATCACTTTACAGCAGCAGCAGTTAGTCCCCAGAGAGGGGGAATTCATGGTGCCACTGGGACAAGCCCTCTGGACAGCCATGGGCTGAATGTCCATGTGTCTCCAGCCCCACTATCAGCTGGCATGAACCTGAAATTCCTTCAAAACCTGGCTGCTGAGATTTGAGAATGGAAAGAGGAAATGGATTTGTGCAAAAGGCCCAGGCTGGAGAAGACAAAGAGTCTGTCACAGGGCTGCCAAGAGAAGGGTCTCACTGTGCTCAGCATGGTGACTAACCTAACACTAGAAGAGTGTATCTGAAAGGAAGCCTGAGATAAAGTGACCCTCTAATAACATTGACTTAAATCTATCCCACTTGAGACCACCTCAGGCTGAGCTGGCACACTGACACAGCTTTGTGTGTCATCAGAGCAGCTGATATCAGACTGTATAGTCATACTGAAAAAGTGTAAGCTCTGTATGAGACTGGCAAGTTATTAATCATCATCATTTATTTATGTAAGATTGCACTTTGGTTTCCCTCTGCTTTCAATCCATAACTGCTGTTCTGTGTAGAATTCCTGTTTAGTGTAGTGAAATTCATCAAGTATACTTTAAAAATTAGAGTGCTACGCTTTATATACTTACCTCGATGTGATAGTATGTCACTTCAGATGATTCAGTATTAAGTATTTATTACATGTGCTCATTACTTGAATATTCCTTTTGTGAAGAAACCCTGTCAGGGATGTCCTGGTAAACCAGGTAAGAAGGGACAGGGAGGACCCTTCTCAAGAAACTGCATATTTTTGGAGTCATAGGGTACCCTCTGGCTGGCGAATGCTATGAGTTGTGAATATATTTCCAAGAGTACACTTCAACTAGAGTCAACCTTACCATGTGAGCTACATCTCTCTACCTCAACCGACACTAGGAGTAATACCAGATCTTGTTGAAACAAATTATTTAGAATTACAACAGGGAAAGTTTGTGTTTGAAAATGCTCCATGGAACTTATGGAAGCTGTACTAAAGAGAACTGGATGTATTTGTTGTCAGCATCAGAGACTTACATGATTTTAATGAAAGGAAATACATCAGATTTCTTGATATGGGCCCTCAGAGAGCCCTGCTTTGCATACTGCCCAGTTTTGCTTTTTTTTATTGCTTAAAGCAGAAGATTTGCAGAGTATTTTTTTCCCTGTTGTCACAGAGGAGAAGAATTGGTATTTTGTTCCTCAAACAGTGACTGAATTTAGCTTACAAATAGATCCTGGAGGTAAACAAAATAAGCGACATAGTTTTTCCAGATAGCACTCGTATCAGTTATAAAACTTAAAAAAAAAACATATGGAAAGGGCAACAGAGGATTCAAATACCCAGTGTGCACCTAACTGCACCCTCAGCTGGGCACCTGTCCATGGCCATGGTAATCTGCCGACCTGAGGTAGGCAGAAAACTTTCTTGCTTGTTCAGTTGCAGTCTGTCAGGTTGGTTCCTGACTTGGGCTGCCATGTGCTGCTTTTAGGCAAATAAAAAGTAATGTCCTTATTTTGGGCTGGATGCCGTGTAAGGTTATCACACAAGGCATGTCTTTGGGAGAGAAAATTGATATAGTTTCTGATGGTCCAACTCAGGAATTATGAACCTGAATCTATCCGTTTTCAGTCAGGGCTTAAGATTTTAGGCACAGGGTTGGAAACGCATCTTCCTAAGAGGAATGCTTTCCCACAGCAGATCTACCGTCTCCTGTAAGAATCAGTATTTGGAAGGGATACCAAGGAAACCACCAAATGATGAAAGACAAGGACATTTCATGGAAATCAGTAAGTGCATGAAGACCCCACAGCCTGTATGCAGGACAGAGCTCTTCCCACCTTTGAAGTGAAGGCAAATGTCAGAAAATAGTCAACTACTGGTCTTCTCAACTGTTGAGGATGAAAGAAAACTGAAATAGATAGATTCAGTGCAACATGTTGTTGCATAGCAATATTCTTACATTTACCAGGAGCTGTTGCCTTTCATCAAGTTCCTTTTGTCTCATAAGAAAGTAATTTTTGTTCATATTACAGCAAGGTAATGCGTGTGAAATACATTTGTCTGGGCGGAAAACGTAACATATATTTGGTGAAAAAATAAACGAGAATAAATTCTAATTTTCTTAAGAACATGGCAGGGAGTAGTACAATAATAATTTGGCAGCTATTTTTTTTCTCCTGGGCATGTATTTATTTGAGACTAGGATATAAAAATGAGCATGAAGATTAATCCATAATTATTATGTCATTTCTCCTAGAGCAGTCTTAGCAACAGGGAGCAGTCCCTCTCACCTGCTCCTCCAGCCCAAGCCAGTGCACGCAAGTGTCTCCCACAGCAGCACCCCGCAGCCCACAGATAAAACAAGTTGCTCATGTTGGACTGAGCACCAGTTTGACCAATGTACAGGTGCACCATGCACCCAGCACTGACTCCACCAGCAGCTCCTGGGAGCAGGGTGTGTTCCCCTTGGGAAAGCACAGCTGAGCTGCAGGGAGAGCTTGTCAGCAGCCTCCAGATAACTCTGAATTCAATGGGGTTTTTGTCCTTTACCTCCCTGGGAGCAGAATAAGGCCCTTAACAACCTCCTTGCTGGGCTGCCAGCAGCACTGGTGCTATTCTCTCCTAGCTTAGAAATCAGAGATGGAAAAGATCAGCCAGGTCACCCTGTCCCTCCCCTGGCCAGATTATTCCTGCAGAGCTTTTTCCATTCAAGCTGAAGTGCCTCATAGCAACAAAAACCTGAAGGATATGAATCACAGAGTAGAGCTGAGCAACAGCAGCAGCTACAGGGAAAAACTCCCTCACCACATTTCCAGGAAAACTCCACCCCCAGCACCTTTTTGCATCTGTTTCTAAAAATGCAGGGCCTGATTTTATGATGTGTAGTACAAAAAACAATGCCAGAATTACTCACCGGTAAATGCCCTAGAAGAGGTGTGATGCTGTCAGACACATAGATGATGCTTCCACCTGTAGTTACTGCTATAATGAAGCCATCTAATGCCTAAGGAAAACAGACAAGTGGAGAGTGCTTTAACAGGAATGACTGGTGTAAACAGACATCTCATCATGTGTTGATCAAAACAATTTCACTTCAGCACCATATTGTTATCAAGTTGTAGGAATGTTATCTCAAGTTGCAGAACAGTAATTCTCTGATTTTACAGTCTGATTTAACTTTTACAAGATTCTTTGTAGTCTAGTAAAACCTACTACTGAAGTAACAAAGGGCTCACAGGAACATTTCATGTCTCAGTTTTTAAATTAATCACACATTTTAATAATGCAAAATGACTACGACTGAATCCCTTGGAAGTTATTAAAATGAACATTTGAGCTCTGTGTAAATATCAAAGGACGATGAAAGGATGCAGTCCTATCTCAAAATGGTACTTCTCTGCAAACCCCATAAATCTTGGTTTGTATTAATGTAATTTTGTATATTACTGGGCTTTCATGTAAGTAAAAGCAATGCAAATGATCAAATAATCCTTAGCCTGAGTTTTAATTGAGTGATTTATTTTAAAGGTCATGGTATTAGATTACTCGTTCCAAGAGAAATTCACCCTTCTGCAGAGTTTCTTCCTCACTTCGGTCCCACCTTGCAGTAAGCCCCTTCATTCCTAGGACTGAAGGGAAATGTCAGCCTTATCCCCACCCTCTGTACAGCAGCAATTTCACCTTCAAAATTAGGCTTTTCTTTAGTCTGAGCTGCTAAGTTTTGAGCTCGGTGTTGTCCCAAGTTAAATCTACATACATTTTGAGATCTAAAGGAAGATTATCTTAATTTTGGGAGAGGGATTCTCCTCAGAGTGATCTAAAGCAAGATGAGCTTTAGATCACTCGGAGGAGGACACCTCCAAAAATTAAGACTCAATAATAGGTGCTCAGAGAATATATTAAAACCCTCCCATTGTCATTAAGGAGTCACTGATGAGGCTTCCAATCGTTCAAGTGGAGCAAGTCTGGGGCCTTTCTGTCAGGTTCCCTGGTGTTCTGGAGTCGGTGCTGCCAGCAGTACTTGAGCAGCAAGCACGACTGAATCAGAGCATAGTTCAACTGTACTCCAGTGGCAATACCTGCTCCAGAGACAGGTGTACTGCAAACAGCCTGATCAGGGTGCCACAGCACTACAAAACCATATTGCAAATCCAGGCCTGCCCCCGAGCCAGACTAGCAGTTGGTCTTGTAAAGCTGCAGCACATCCTTCCTTTCCCCCCTCCTCCCTGCTGACTTCAATAAGGGAAAGAATTCTGAGAACACTGGAAAATGCTAATTGTTTAAAAAAAAAAAAAAGAAAACACAAAGCCTTGAATAGACACACAAACATATGTTCCTTTTTCCAGAGAATGCTGAGCACCCACAACTATTTAAGTCAATGGGAATCTGCTGGTGCTTCAATCCTTTGAAAAGCAAGTCAATAACTTATACCCCAGTAGAAGAGTGTGTGTTTAGCATCTCTGAAAACCCTCCAGCTGCTATAGTTAGTTTCATTTTGTTAATCTAAGTACAGAGAATATGTTTTTCTTTAGTGTGGTACATTCAAGCTGTTTTCTAAAAAAGCATGATAGCTGTTAACCTGTAGAAGAGAGCAATGATTTTACATGGCAGCTGGATTGTGCATGTTACTATGGTGAAGGTTGTTAGTTTTTAAAAAGTCAAGACTTTATTTCATATCCAGTGCAAATTATACACAGTGACTCATATCAGAATTTTGTGGTAAAATCAACTTAGTGTATGCATACATAATTCTATTTTCACTTACTCATGACCGGACCTTCCAACATTAAGAGGGCATATCCCTCTTCAAAGATTTTACTGCTGCAATAGTCCTAGATGGACAAACAGAGCCCAGTGCCCACTCTTCTGTAATTTGATGAGAGTCTTTTCAATGGGGTAAGAAAAAGCCACTTTCAGGAAAGCTGGTGTATTACTGCAGTCAATTATGATCTGATTATTTGGAATTAGTGCTTGGAAAAAACCCTTCCCATCTTTTAATAACAGGATGGGAAAAACTTCAAGCAGTCTTGTCCAAATGCTAATAAAATTAGATTAGCAGAAAGACAAAATAGCAGAGAATGATGAACATCTGGCACAACAGGAGATCCCAATACCCAATGTTATCTTGAAGGGCATGGAAAATCACAGTAGCAAGAAGGTGATTTATAAGCTGGGAAACCAAAAGTGATTGTTTAATCTAAAATTTCATAGCATACAAGTAGAATCAACAAAGGCTCAGCCTGTCAAAACAACTGCCAATTTATTGCTATCTGAGGGACATATTTCAGTGCAGACTAAAGGAGTTATGTATGTTAAGTTCCTGTGCACTGAGATTGGAATGGGTGGTTGTCAGAGCAAGGGGAGCAAAGTGCCTTATAAAACTAGACCAGGGGAGTCTCATCACAACAAACTGCAATGGCCAAGGGACTTCCAGCCCCTGGGAGCAGCAATGTGCCCCAGCTTTATGCCACCCCTTGGTGGGTGAAGGTGCTTCCCAACATCCTTCCCTCCCTGCTGCCAGAGCCTGGATCATGTCCCATATTCATATCATCTGTGGGAGGAAGAGAAGCTTGTTCCCAAAGGACACCGTGGGGCCATGAAACCTCCATGTGTTTAGTGCAGGAAAAGATCCTCGCAAAAGATGATTCTAGCTGTTACTGAGAGAGAAAAATACATTTTAGCAGCTCAGTTGCATTTCATTTTGAACCTACATAAACGCCATTCAGTTATGTCCCTTCAAATCCCAGCTAGCATTAAAAGGACCTATGGTATAATTCAAAAACTATCATTGTAAAATGTTAGAATAAAAATTGTTTGATAAGGGCGTTGCAAATCAGAGTGGAAGTATCAACTGTATCAAACCAAGAGTAGCTGTCGAGCTTTATCTGCTAGTACAGCACCTAGCACTAGGGGGATGCGGCACTGTTGCTTTTTAGGTGCTAGCCTTGCATAAATATTAGGTAATAATAATGCCTTCGAAGAACAGGAGAAAAACTGCCACGTGCTCTTCACCTCACCTCTGCTTGTAAAAATAAAATATAACCTGTAATTTGAATCTTTCCCCTGGATTGCACTTCTTGAGAGTTGCTGCACAGCTTAGCAGGCTGCGGCAGCACGGTGCAATGGCACCACTGAGAGTGAAGAGCAACAAGTGGGGACTTTAATCCCTTGTCCTGGTGATAGCTCTGCTTGATGGTCAAATACAGCAGTACCTGAAACCTCCTCTTTTGGAACTGCAGATGACAGTTTATTCTAGATGCATGGGTGTTTCCATGACTGCTAGACAAAATTAGGAAAGGTATATATTCATGTTCACCTCCAACATCAGCTGGGTGAATTCTTCATTGCTGAGAAATGAAGGCTTCCAGTCCTGCTGAATTTCAGAAATCTCCGTCTGTGCTGAGACTTCTAGACAAATAAAACATTTACATCTTTAAAATTTAAATTAACTTCTATCTTGCAATACCAAATATGAATTGCTATGAAAAGAAAGAAATCACCTTTATATTCAAAAATTGCAGTTTTCAAGCAGGGGTTTTGCATACGGAGACAGTAATGACTACCTAAACTGGCCCCAATCCTGATATGTTTTCCTCATTTTTTACTCAGGTCAACCTGTACTGACTTCAGTGGGAGTCTGTATTCACAAGGCCATTGGCCTCAAGCAGCATTCCTGGAGTATTGATCAAAAGATAAAACCACTTTGCATGAAATTAAAATCAAGGCAAGTATTAGCACGTGTCAAATTGCTATTTACAATTTACAGTTTCAAAATTAGGATTCTGGAGAGGGTTCAGCCTACAGCTTCTGTGACAAAGAGGGAGCAGCAAGAAAACTTCTTCAGAGGAGCCCCAAAGGGCGATGACCCCAAACAGCAGAGCTCTTGCTTTGTTTTCCAAAATGTGAGAGAAACGTGAGCATTTGCAGCAGCTTTACACTGTTGCTACTGCCACCACTGCCTCTTGTGCCTACCTCCAGCCCCATTGTGCAGGGCAGCCCAGGAGAGGGAACGGAGCACCAGCCTCTCGTCCCAAATCCTGTCTGAAGGGAGTCTCCAGTGCTGTCAGCCTGTGAGACACCAAAGGGTGGTTTGCCTTGTTGTTGGTCAATCCTGACCCCACAGCAGCCTGCAGAGGGCTTGCTCCCTGAGGGCTTTCCGTGAAGGGGTGCAGGCACAAGTCACAACTTCACGCTGAAATTGGGGACCGTACTGTGGTGAGCTGTTTCCTTTGGAAAACAGTCACTCATGTTAGCTCTGCCTTAGTAAGACAGAGTTATGGGGGACAGATCTTAGAATTTAGAGAGACTAGAGCTCGTTTAGTTAGCTGCTCACTCTGCTTCTCTAAGAGTGCTTCCTCACTCAGCTCTACTAGTGAGGGAACAGTGAGCACAGACTGTCTTCTCCTTTCAGCACTGCCTGCTAATTAATCCTACTGATTAACATTTCCAGAGCATGTAAAACCCAATGCTCCATATTCAGAGCACATAGGCAAAATGGCCAGAGAAATGCAAATGGATAAATGATACTAAAGACAATACATTTATATGAGTGCCTGTGCATTTTGTCACCTCGAAAGAAATCAAAACCTCCGTTCAGGTTGTATTAGTGGAGATGCAGCCGCCTGCTTTTACCAGCTCCTTTGACTCACTTTCTGCACTGCTGGGGGCTGTCACTGGGAGCACAGCAGCTCTCCACAGTTCCCATGGGTTTACACAGAGGTTTGAAAACCAGACTAAGGAAAAAGAGTGCATCAGATTTTTATTAGATAGTTTCAGTATATAGGATACTTTCAGCAGATCTGTAGCTTGGAAAAGCTAATGTACATGAAACGGCGACTGTTGGAAGAATTACTTGAGATTTGGGAGATTCTGTGGATTATGAAGAAGGAGACTGTTTATGAAGTGAAAAATCTGAAAATTGACCTCCTCCTCCATTATGACTAAAATCTTGGTTTAGCCCACTAAATGAAAAGGAAATACGATTGAATAAACCAGATCCAAAGTACATGGAAGATAATCAACATTTTTAAATGCTGGTGCTTTGTATTATATTGTGTGACTACTAATCTGGTTTAAAAATAGATAACATTTGCTTTTTTTAGCAAGTGCACAAAAAACAGTCACATTTTGACCCAATTGCTGTGGAAGGATTTGTGACTGTTAGCTTTCTTTTACCTAGTTGTTCTTCAAGAAAAAGTGCCTTTTGGAGTAAATTATTTGGGCCATCAGCTACATCTATCTACACTTATTCAAACCTTGTGTGATTTGCTTGGCTTTATATTTGAACATATGCACATTCTCCTTTACTCTGCCTTGGGCAGCTAAAAAGAAAAGATATATTATTACTGTCATTTTAAAAAAAATTATATACAATTATTAAATTTTGTCCTAGTCGTCCCTTCCTGTATAAAACTACAGGTTAATGGTTGGACTCAACGGTCTTAAAGGTCTTTTCCAACCTCAAAACAATTCTATCTTATCTGTGGCAAAAATTCATTTAAGGACAAACTGCACTCTAACAACAGAATAATTATAATTATTTCCTCGGTAACATTGACATTTGTGACTCCATTATGTTGGGAGTCATGATTATAGGATTTTTTATAGTGTTTTCTGTTTCAGCCGGAGTTCTCCAGGGAGTGCAGGAGGGTGGTGCTGCATGAGCAAAGGTGAGCCAGGTGATGTGGTGCATCAGCTCGTGAGACCCCTTTCTGCTTTGTGGGGCCCAGGCCATTCCTCACAGTCAAACACTGAAGACTCTTCCTCACAGGGGCAGAGCAAGAGAGCCCCATTTTAAACCAGTGCTCTGATTTATAAGGGAGAAGTGTTTCAACTGACTGCTGCTGGTGGATGTCCATGCATCTAGAAGGCCACAGTGCACATTCCTCTCACTGAGTAGAAAATGGACCAAACAGACTAGATTAGCAAGGTCAGAAATCTCCTCTGCCCTCTGTGAAGGTACATTTCTAAGGGACCTGTCAATGCTGGAGCAATTTAAAAAATAAACTCCTGGCTTTCCGAGGCTGAGCTTTACTACTGCAACTGGGTGCTGTGCAAATGTGGTGTAGCTTATGCTTGTGCAAACAGGGTGAAGCACATCAGCTGTCTGTGGATGCAATTTGCTGAAGTCAACTTCAAAAACTGAGGTGCTTTCTGTTCTGAGTTTTCTGCTCAATGTGGAAAATTGAGTCCTACACAGTCCACTGAGGAGCAGGGGTGCTGAACAGATTGCTTCCCTGCATTTGTCTGCAGAGAAGCTGGGGTGAATGCTTTGTTCTTCTGCTCAGAATATTGCAAATTTCAAGGAAGGGAATCTTCCCTCTGGCCCCAAATCTCTGTTGTTCAAAGCATCTCTCTTCTTCATATGTGCTGCAGGGCACTGCTACCCTCTTCCCCTTGGTGCCTGCCATTCGCCCCCTTCGCTACCAGGTTGAGAATCATCAACTAAAGAGCAAACAAGAAGATGGATTTGGGCAGCACAGTGTTTACAAATTATCTTTCTTGATGTGACAGAAAAAAACCCAAACACCTTATGTTGGCACTTTTAGGTCCCTCAAGCCATTCTGATAATCACTGAAGGAAACAGGATATTATAGTAATTGTCTGGCAAATGCATGAAGAGCTGCAGTAAATCTTACCATTGTGTTTCTGCAGAAAGCCAATGACTTTTTCCAGCACAGTAGTTTTGTCCATTTTGCGAGTGTTGCCTGGAAGCATGGAGCTGAGCTCTTTGATGAGAACATTGAACTGATCGCGCCTCTTCTTCTCAGACTTGTTACGTGAAGCCCTGTAGACAGGGGAAAAGAAAAAAAAAGGATGAGCAGACCAAGAGGAAGAATGATCATGTACCTGCTCTTTGTAATGTAGACACAAAGAAATCAGCTTGCTGCATCCCTCAGCATGTGAAGACTGACACTGGATTCCAGCAAAATTGCAGAGGAAAGTAGGAAACAGAAGTTCCCACCTCCTTTGAGCCACCTTTGGTATCCATTGGGGAGATGGAGGCTCTGCTCGCCCTTCTGTGCTGCCTCTGGACACTCTAGTTGAGCCTGCCAGATTAGCATTGAGCCTGTAGTTGAAGGAGCTCTGCACATCTCCTAGATATATGTAGGATCTTGAAAGTTCATGCAGCCTCTGAATAGGCACTCAGAATGAGAAGAAATAGGAATACTGTGACAACAGTAAACTTGTTCATAAAGAAGACTGGGGACTGGATCATAGCCATCTGTGCAGTCTTAACTGAAGAGAGGGACCCCAGTCCTGCAGCTGTTGCACTGGAGCTGGATTCACCTAGAGGGACCTCCCGCTTTGGTCACAAGTGGTCTGCCTACCTCCAGGCTGACAGAGAAGAATCAAGTTGTTGTCTTCCAGTCATTAAGATCAAGGACCTGAACAGAAGTTGCTGCAGCTCCCATCTAGTTCATTTGCCACCTTGTTCATTCTCCTTTCCAAGGTCACATGGGTAAGCAGGACAGAGGGCATCAGCATGGCTCATCCCAGCAAGGACCAGAGCTGAGGCTAGGATGTCTTCCCAGACCTGGGGTCTCAGAAGTGCCAGAAGTGCTTGCTCTTAATCCCTGTGTGCCACTAGGAAAATCACTTAATATCATGGTGCCCTGAGTCTTTAGGTGTAAAACAAAGACTCTACAGCTTTCTTCACCAGTCTTGTCTGTTTAGCTTACAGACTCCTCAAAGAGAGCCTGCTTCTACTGCTGCATTTGAAGAGCTCACAGGAAAAAAGGATCTGATTTCATTTGGGGTGTTTTGACACCATCATGATACTGTCATTAAGGCCGTTGATAATCTTTTCAGCATGTACACTTAGGTTTTTTTTTAATTACCTGTCACTCTATACACAAACAAGTGTTTTCTGAATTGTTCCCATGAATACCACAATAGTTTGACTTGGAGGTTATCACCTGTACTTCTCTGGCCATGGGAAAATAGAAATAAATATAACCCAGAAGGTTTGTTTGTTTTTCTGAAAGGTCCTCAAGCAGACAAGATTTGCCTTGTCGATTACGTAAAGATCTAAAAATCTGGTTACATGTAGACAGGAAAGAAAAGCCAAGAGGCTGGTTCTCTGAATTTCTTGGTCCCAGCTAACTCTGCTGTGCCTCATAAGCAGCTCTGGATGCACACTGCTGAAAATCAGAGCAGAATTTAGCCCAGCATCTACATCGCCTCCAAGGACCAGAATGGTAATAAACATTTTCTGCAGAGAAATCACTACAGAGGCTTCTGGATGTTACTACTGACAGAAGGGTAATTTTTGTTTGTCTTGCTCTCAACCCTGAACACACTCGGAGATACACTGGATAGAAGCCAACACTTGATTATTTTACAGCTTTGAACACAAGAGATTGGGTGGATACTGCCTGACTGATTTCAGCCTGTTCTTATTACGGTGCAAAAGGCTGTCAGAACAAGATGTGAAAACCTCCAGTCTTATCCTATTTCTCTACAGTTCAAGGGGACGTTAAGCATACCAACACTTTACTTCCTCATAATTCAATCCTCAGTTCATTTTAAGCTTAAAGAGTCCAGATTTCCCTGAAAATAAAATAAACCACCAACTGTCGATAGGAAAAGTGGTGCTTTAAAAAAAAATAAAAAATGCCTTGACAGAAATATAAAGTATCTATTTTTAAGACTTGACATTTTATTCACAAAGGAAATATAAAAACTTTTCTAGTGGAAATAACTGTACTAAGATCTGAATCGATGATTACAGTAAAATTTTGAAGAGAAAAAAAATTATAAAAATTGGGAAAAAAAAGATAAAAACCATCCCTGCACAGTTGAAAATATTTTGTTTAGTATAGTTATAAATGTATTAAATAAGACCATTTTCATCACTTCCCTTTGAAGATTATTTCCTAGACTTGCTTACTTCACTGCTAGGGCATACAATTACAGTACGCTCAAACAACCTCTGTCTTAATTTCATACTATTTGTCCCAGTTTCCTTCTTCCTTGCTACTCCAAAAAGATTACAGCATATTCAAGAGGAAGAAGGAGCCACAGTATGAATAAAATCAGGACTTTCAGTAATACAGCTAAAGGCAATACAGGACAGCCTGAATTCAGAATGATCAAAATCACCAATTTAACATGTGTTATGAACAGCCATTTTTGTTTTCTTACATATTTGCTACTTGTTCTCTTAAAGAGAGACTGATACGACTGACTAGGAGCCACTACATTTTGCTGATTTACAATGAAATGTGACTGTACATTAAATTTTGTATTTCTTTTTACTGTCCAGTGTAGTATGTTATCTATGCATTAATGCAAGTAACTGTACCACATACCTTCATTCAGATTCTTAAATTTACTTTTTATTTCAGTGGAAAATGGCAGGTGGTAGTCTTCATGATTAAGCACTTTCTCATGGTTCACTTCAAGCTGGTTTTGGTTGGAATTTGGAATTCAACTGAATTGCAAAAAAAGTATTTAAAATTATTTACTATTAAAGCAAACCGAAAGAAAAGCAAATAGAGAAAAAAGTGCAAAAGCACGCTTTTTGTTTAGAATTAATAAATCCATAAAATAAAATAAACCTCATCTAGCATCAAAGAACTGAAAATGAAATTACACTTTCTGATCTCCAGAAGCTCAGAAGACCTCACATAGGTCTTCAGTGCTCCCAAGTGTGGTCCATCATATCCATATTTTAGTTCTCAGGTCTTTGGAGTGGAGCTCTGCCTTCGGGAGTCAGATGATGCAGAATGGGGCTCAATTTAACCAGTGTCCTAAAGGAAGAGCTATATATCTTCGCCAAATACTAAACAGTTGGCACAGGGATGGGAGTGCAAGTGCCTCTTCTCAGGAGAGGATGGATCCTCTTTTCATGTCTGTATAATACAAACCGTATGTGCCTAATACATTGCAGCAGATATAAATGGTGTGTCTGTGTATTTCTAACCTGAGAAACCCAGCTCCTGGCTTGAGTCCACCCCCATAGACATAAGATTCAGAAATTTCCAGTCTCACCTACTTTTAACTGAGAAAAGGAAAGGTGAGAACAATTTTCTTGGCTTTTTTTTATCCTCTCTCGTGTTTCTCAGCACTGAGACACCCAGCCCTTACACCGAATAGAAGAAAACAAAGAAAGCATTTCTCCCATGGCATGGGACAGGTGGGAGTCCTCAGTTTTCAATACATGGCAGCAAAATGCTCATCAAATGGCTTCTCCAGAGTTTGACTTTCTTTAAAGCTTTGAAAGAAAACCTGTAGCTTCTAAATGAATCTGAATGGTTCTAGTATAATGTATTAACTTTAGACCTTCATGAAGCCTCTCATGATTTCAAACTTCATTTCAAATCTAGCTTTATTTCTAAAAAGCTAAATGTACTTAAATTACAATTTAAAGTAGCAATTTCCTTTCTTCATTTTCAAAGTTATCATTTGTTTTATGCGCCCTGAGAGAGGCCTGCCCCAAGGTATGACAAAAATTTCCCTCTGGGAACAAACAGCATGAAAACCATACCAGATGGTGATGACAATCACTGATAGTGAGGATACGTGTTATCCTATTTTTTTCATATATTCACTTGTTTATATGCATTTTTTTTTTATTAAACAATTAACACACAAATATCTTGAAGATAATCAGGCCTTAAGCAGGTGAAGCGGTGCTGCAAGGTAGGCTCCCTTCTGCACCCTCTCCAAATGGGAGCAAAGGGGAACAGCTGAGCTTGGCTGCAGCCCGTGCTGACCTATATTGGTGAGAAAAAGCTGCAGGGAGGGAAAGAAGCGGAGAAGGAATCAAAAGAGATGAAACTGGATCAACTGCTTGTGCCTGGACTGGAAATACTCTCATCAGAGGGAACCAAGGGGAAAAATGTGGGCAACCCACGGCCCTCTCTAAAGTAATTAAACTGCAGGCTGCGGCACCGATAACCTTGAATGCTTCCAAACCGCTTTTCTGCAGATGTCAGTCAGCTCTGACAGTTATTAAGAGTTTTATTGCCACAGGTCTTCTGCCTTGAAACATCCCTTTTCTCTCCCCACAACGGGTTTACAACAAATTCCCGCCAACCAGGACTTGACTGAGTGCAGGATACGTGTGAATATAGGTTTGTGCCAGTTTAGGGCCGACTTTTCATGGTCTTTCTCTGCTCTGAAGGTAACTTCTGGGTGTTTTCATTACTGTGAGATAGGCACTGATGAATAAAGGACCATTCTAATAGGAAAAAAACCCCCACTCTTTTAGTTCTTTTTCTTTTGCAAAATGTATTTTAAAAAAAACCAACACAGTTTTGTACACTTGGAAAGTTCAGATGATGTATTATAGAGGCAGGAGTACGTTGTTGGTGCTTCAGTTCTGATGTTTCGCAGTAATGTGAAGAAAACGATCAATGCCTTGGCTTTTTTAAATTTTCCACAGGAAACACTGCTACATTATTTTCTTCTTACAGGGCAGCCAAAAGTAGGAGTCTGCGAGATGGCAGTTTTTCAAGTTGTGCTTGACTGTATTTTACTCTCTCTCTCTCTGATTAATTGATTATGGATAAAACAGCTTCTGCAGCAACAAATAGTATAAAGCTCATCACAGAGAATTATAAAAGAAAGGTGCTCACCTCTTTGCTCTGTCTTTTTCATCTTCATCCATTAGATTGTCTAAGCAGTTTTTTCTGTTGAAGGAATGTGAGAATCATTATGAATTGTCATTTTGTTAGCTCTACTTGCAGGTTAATCTCACAGTTGCTCTATTTCATTTTAATAACAGAGTGATGATATCCAGGTCAGATAAATGTGTCAGCAGTGCTTTATGCCACAGTCCCTGATTTTAGGAAACATCCATTGTGGGTAATGTTATTCCTGAGCATTACACTAGCCTTAGGGGCTTTAGTCAGGGATCAAGGCTCCCAGGCACCACACAGTGCACCAGCACACTACAAAACCAGCCACTTCTTTGGGATTTTTTCATATGGAGGTAACTCTCTGCAAACCTGTAGGCTGAATGAACCCTGGGGCCTGTCCAAATTGAAAAGGCATTTTCAGTGTTCCCATATTCCCCCCAAAACAATCTCCAGTGCAAGAGTCAGCATCACTGATGCCTTTGATTCCCAAGGCAGATCTTCTTACTGGGAAGCTCTTCGTCCTCCTCTGCGGGCCCTTTCCCAAAGCCAAAAGGGATGGTAGTAACTCTACTGAATTACACCCAAAATTCAGAGTCTCCTCATAAATCCCACCAGAATGTGGTGACCTGCGGTCAGTTTTGTAGTCCAATTGCTCCACCAGTTTGAGCTGCAAAGAGAAAGTACTCTGAGCACAAGGTATGTCCATAAAGCCACAGAGTAAAAAATGGTAAATTAAGTAAATTTGTGTAGGCAAGGCAAAGGGAAAAATACAAGAGTGGTCCTGCTAAAGGCTGAGTGCCTCAGAAACACTGCCCTCAGTACACTGCCCACCTTCCTTTGCTCCATGGCCTTATAAAAAAAAGGCATGCTTCAGCTGTAACCACTTCAGGTTGAGAAAGAAGCTCTGTGCTGCTGCAGCCTCTCATGGCACCCATGCTGGGTACAAAAGCCACATGGTGCTGCATCCCACAAAAATATTTTCTGTAACAGCAGCAAAATGCTGGTACAAACCCTGGATATTGTCAAAGCGTCATTTTCAAAGCAGCGGCACAATAACAGGCAATGATAACACTCCTTTTCAGCAATCAGTGTTTCTCATTTAATGAGTCCTCAACACGTAAGACATGAACAAAATTGGAGGGGGGAGGAGGGAAGTTAATTGCTTGGCTTTATTTAAGCCCATGTTATTTTCCACATATGAGTCACAGATAAATTTGCCTGTTTAAAGAACATTTTATGAAGAAACAGGAGTGAAAACTTATTGACAGCAAGAACAAGGGATAAATTCCTTCCTTCTGCTACTAGATCTCTTAAAGCAATATTCTGCCTGGTCGTTACTCAAGAGTTAGCTAAGAAAACAAAATTACCCTGTAACTTTTTATCAAATGAGTTATGAGGAATTAAAGCTGGGGGTCACTGATTGGAGGATAAAGCTACTACTTCACGGCATTCAGCTCATTGATGGACAAGCATAAAGAGGAAATATGAAGGCCAAAGGACTGGGTTTTTTAGTAATAACTGGCAAATTTAAGTTGCTGAATGCTATTATACAGAACAAAATAACAAATAATACCACGTAGTTTTTAGATTTTTTTTTTTCCAGCTATTTATTTGGACTTGCAAAACAGCCAAGTCAGCCATATCATAATCCATATTTTGGAACAGGAAAATTTATAGGCCCAGCTAAATTTTATTTATCAGTATTTAACAAATACTTTAGGTGCTTATTTGTTCAGTTCCGTAATGACTGCTATCCCAACAAGTGTGTTTTCAACTAATTCAGGCTAAAATGTAGCGACAATATTCAGTTTTGTTGTTATTTGATTGCTTATTGCAACCAAAATGTTCACACACACTATTCAAGAATACAGAAGGCATCGTTAACATGGCAAGGGTTAGCATTTAGGATTTTGCAGTCTTTCATTGCTAAACCTTCGCTCAAAATCATAGAATCATAGAATGTTACAATCCCTTCTTTAAAGGAAGGGACCTTAAAGATCCCCTAGTTCCAACAGGGTGGGGGGGTACACCTCCCACTAGACCAGGTTGCTCAAGGCCTTACCAATCTGGCCTTGAACACTGCCAGGGCAACCTGTTTCAGTGCCTCACCACCCTCACAGCACAGCACAAAATGCCCTGTAGCATGCACCCCTGTTGAATCTAGGGTATTACAAGCAAAATGGGCAGTGCCAGCAAAAGAACTTGCTCTCCCTGAATCCCTAAAGGTCTTCCTCTGCTGCATTGCGGCCTCCTCTGGTTTCCCAACAGAAAGCATAAATATGGGGACAAGAGCCCTGAGTGGCTGTGAGGAAGGATGGGAGCGGATGAGGCAGTCAGCATCAGTGTTGCTCAGCTCCGGCTGTTTAGGAGAAGCACAATGTACCTAATGGAAAGGGTCTTCCTACAGCTGTACCCTGTAAACCATCAAGAAATTACACTGCCAGGAAGCCTCTTCTCTTGAGAGAGAGCAACAGATCTAAGTGGTCTGTTCTGCCAAGGATTTGGCTAGATCTGTAAAGCAACTCATGGCCAGCTTCCATTAAACAAGGTTTCTCACTGACTGACATGAAATTCTGGACCTGCTGTGCTGTTGCTAGTGTGAGACAATTTCTAATTGTCATTTTGCTTCTGTTTGCTCACATGGCAAAATTTCAAGAGCATCATAAGCATTGCTAACAGGGTTTGCCAGTACATATGTACCATACGAGATTAAAACTGTTCTCAATAAAATAGATACATCAGAGTATACTAGTGTTGCGAACTGATATTGCCATCCCTCTCCTGAGCCCCACCAGATGCTGGCTTACACCTTGATGGAGAAACCCATGGAATAGAGCTTAAATATGTACTTAGTGGAATCTGCTTGCTTTATGTTATCCTCCTAGTCCCTCAGCTGGGAAGGTCCCTAATTGCAAACCAGAAATCTACTGTCTCATCCCTGTCAGTGCCTGGTTTAGGAGGAAATTCCAGCTCACGGCAATGATGGAGGCAGGCAGTAAACACCATGGCTCTATGCCACAGCTCCCCTTCAGAGAGGTGACATAAAAAAACAAGTGGCCCAAGGATTTCTCAAAATTTGAAGAATCCTTTCATGCTAACAAAGACAATTTGTAAACCTATGGGTAACAACATCACATGATGCAACTCCTGCTGACAGAATATTTAACAGTGACAGTTATATTGGAGCTTCATTGTATCATCGTTATCATCAAGGAGTGATGATAGCTCAAAAAGATGGAAACCACCTGGAAAAAGGAGGAGAAAGCTCACATACTCCCATCAGGGGAGTACTCAGACAAACATACAGAAAGATGCATATCTACAAGTGGGGAAGAGTGGCATTCTGGACATGTACCCCTGGCTTAGTTATTAGAAGGAGAATTATAGCACAAACATCCCCACCACATTCATTCATACAATGAATAGTTGCTTGGGAAAGAAGTAGTTCAGGCAGAGCACCAGCCTGCTTCAGAAGAAAGGTTGCACATGTTTATTTTGATACAGTCTATTCCCGGTGAACACAGGGCTTGCACTATAAAAATTCATCTAGCACTGATCACCTTATCCTGTGCTAGAAACATTTATTTTAGTGAGCTAAACTACTATTCTTCTGTGCTGGTGAGGTTGGTTTCTCTCCTTTCTGTCCTACTGCTCATAAGGATATGCTATACACACTCAAATGTAAGTAATCAGCTGTTGATTTCCCACTAACTTGCCACAAGGCCAACTAATAGTTCCTACAAATCAGCCTGATATTTAATGAGAATTTTTAATCGTAGTTGTTTAACTCAGCTGAATTAAATCAGAGATGTAAATTTCTTTCAGAGGTCCTGGGATGTGCCTGGGGAAGCCTGGTGAGAAATCACAGTGCTTGTGCTCCTCTGGCCCTTATGTTAGGCAGCCCAAACAAAAAAATAGGCTTTTTGTCCCCTTCCCTCTCTGGCAGGGTGGGGTGTTTGCCTCCATCACACCATCGGCCTGCTTGGGTATTCAACCACTTGTCCTGTACAGGGTACGCTCAGCCCTAGGGAGAGGGGGGGTTCCCACCATACCCTGCTGCTGCTTCCCACCCACTACAAATGTACCTGAGCTTTAGACCTTAGACCTCACCCTTAGACCACTTAGGATGCTGGTACAATACAACCATCCTAAGTGAAGACGATAATATTGCTCTTGGAGAACAACCCTCTCAAAGACAGAGGATGGGCAAGGGTTGTATGGAAAATTGGGACGAAAAACTGGCATGAAACACCTTGAATTACCTTCTGACCTTCGCAACAACTGTCACCCTTTTAAAAGCTGAAGGAAAAGAGCAACAGAGTGTAGGGAAGACATGCTCCCGTACCTTCCAGACACATTGCTCAGCTGCCAGGGCCCATCTCTGCTCAGTGTTGCTTCTGTGCTGCCTCAACAGGGAGCTACTCCTGTCCCCTCTTCGAAGGCGAGGAATGAGGCCAGTGAAGAGCTCATCATTATAAAGGAGACACATGGGTATGTTTGGTGGGGTTCAGGAGTTAAAGGCCAGATGCAGCCATGCATGGCATCCTGTGTATAGTGAATAGGTTCCCAGACATAGTAAGAAGGCACCAAAAGGGAGTACGGTCTCTGGACATGAGCCAGGGGCACAGTTTCTGGATACACAGTAGCATAGGGGACAGTGTGGCTTGGTCGCCGTGCTGGCACCACTGCCAGGTCCCCAGCCTGGCACGATGAACAAGGTCTGATGGGCACCGTGGTCGGTCAGTGGTGGTGTCCCATGGGTGTTCCACGCTGGGAAGCACCTCTGCAGCTAGCAGCTCTACCTGCTTTGTCTCAGCTAAGCAGAGCTCTGAAATGAACCACGCTAGCAAGTAAAGTATTTCCCTTCCAAGCCTTGTTGGGAGGCAAAGAGAAAGATTAGCAAATGGGAAGCAGCAGGAAAGGTCATAAGGTGACAGGCAAGAAGTGACTAGCTGACCATTTTAAATGCCTTGTTCCAAGTTTCTGTGACGTGGATGAAGCACTTGGATATCCCACCATGAAGGCTGTGGCATGAACACACAGCAGAAGAA